AAAAAAAAAAAAAAAAAAAAAAAAAAAAAAAAAAAGGCAAATACGACAGAAAGTAAACTGGTAGGGGAGATATAATATAACTTGTTCTCCTTTCCCTCAAAGCAATGATCATAGAATGAATAAAACTCCTTTGCTGGACCTGTAATATTTAAGTTCTACTTCAGTTTATTCAAGCCAATTCCATAACTTGTATTTCTACAACTCAAATGCTATGATGGTGACAAATGTTACTAGCAGCATACTAACCAAAATCATGTTTTAGCTTTTGTGTCAGACTCGATATTCTAGACTGTATTTTAGTCAACTTGGCACTTGATTCGTCATATTCCTTGCGTACACGAGCAGCATCTAAAGAACACAGAGAAAAGTTTAACTCTCAAGTTATATCTACATGGATAAAAAACAGGTAATAAACTTTTAAATAGCCACCTGTCTGGTTCACCGGTGCCTGGAATAAATTAACAGCCTGATAAATATTCAGTACAGCTCTCTGTATTTTCTCTAACCAAGAAGGATTATCTGTAGTGGCACCATATCAGCTCATTTAAATTATCTCATCACAACTCTATCTATATGCCAAACTTGGATAAAAATATTAATATCTATAACAAACCTGACAAGTCTGGTTCAGTATCAGAATCTGATTTGTAGGAGGAACCCAAGTCATCATGCTCATCCTCTCGATATTCTTCATCATTTTCATTTTCATTTTCATTTTCATCTTCATCATCATATTTATGGCTTTCATCATCAGTTTCAGAAGCATAGCCTTCATACTCCTCAGTATTTGTCCCCTTTGGAAGATCTTCATGCTCCTCATTGTCTAATGTCGTATCAGGCTCAGCACTTTGCTTATCAGTATTTTCTCCTGTCCAACGTGAAGCAACAAGCCGGCCCAACTCTTCTCTTGATAATCCCTCAGTATTTTCAGATATATCATTCCCCTACATATATGCCAACAAAGAGAAAATAACAAGCAGAAAAGACAAGTGGGATGAGTTTGCTAATTTAAGATATTTCTGAACTAAAATTTCACCCATAATTATGCAATATATCAACATGAGAAAACAAAGAATCTCATGAGAGCAGGAACTATAGCAAGAGCTGAAGTCTGAAGAATTCAAAAGGACACATAACATGGAGTAGATTGTTGGAATTGGAAATAACCACCTTTGAGACTAATAGTGATTGTAATCAATGCCAATGACAACAAATAAATGCAATTACACTAACAGCTAGGATTGTTAAATACCAGATAACCCATGAACTCTAGCCATCACAATTGTCTTGATGCAAAATCACTACTATGAAATGTTTCATGACCTTAAATGGTGGATGGGATGGAGAAAAATGTTCAAAGATGACAAAAATGTAGTTCAGTTATAAAGTTGGGTTTTGAGACAGCTCATGATTGGGTGAATGGTGGATCAAAGAAAGTTCTCTAGAAACCAGAGTCTTTAGTGCTACACAGAGATGAGTTGCTGACTGTCTCTTAAGTTTTTACCTTTTTTATGATTGTATATGGTAAGCTAAACTATCAGTTTCATGAGAAGTGGGAAGTCAGGCAGACCCTTTATTCCCATTGTTGCTTTCTTAAGTGGTTAATGTTCTATGCCAAATGACATCACATGCCTTTGATAGGGACCTCAAAGAAGGTAGTAGATTCAACATGGCATTTAGGTTTTCCACCTCCAATTGACTTGTGATTGTTAAGGAGGAAAGAGAACAAGGGTAACAATCAATGTCAATGTGTTTTGGTGGGTGAAGCATTCTGTTCCCAAATTGGCAGGATTGTGTGAGATGGCCTATGATGCAAATATAGGATACGCACATCAGATACGATACGTATTTGATATGACAATATGGTTATTCTAAGATATGTAAGATACGAAATGTGTAAGATACATATCTAGATATGTATAAAAATTCATAAAACATAATAAAATTGCAATTCTACAAATCCAAATTAAGAACATACTTCTTCTGACATTACTAAAAACAAAAAAATTACAAATCATTGTTGTCATAAATTACTTCCTGTTGTTTACAAATAGGAATAGTACCATGAATCTCATTTCTTTCTTGAAATCATCCATAAGGAGGACAATTTCTATTTTTGGTTCAAGAGAAATGCTTCTACATTTCTACATTATTATACATGCTTTTATGTCTCATGTAGCTAGTTATAGGATTTTCATAATTTTTTAAAGGCTTGGATACTTTACCTATCCATATCAATGAAGTATCTAAGAGTATCAGTATCAAATATGGATGCATAAAGCAAATTAAAGTATTGGTGCCTCAAATACTAGCTAATGAAATTTGTGGAATCATGAGATCCTTCTATACATGCTTGGTCTCAGTTTTCCAGCTGGTATAATGGGGTACAGGGCTCAAAACCCAGCCCCAGGCCATCACCTGATAGACCTATGACTGTCACCACTGACCAATACCCTTTTGTTGGTGTGATGTTAGATCTGTGACCTGTGAGTGGTCTTGCAACATTGGCTGTCCTAAACCTTAGTTCTGGAACTCCTTTTTAGTGCTACAAGTGAAAGGTAACTGCAACTTCTTTTGCTTCTATAAGAGCTGCAGCTTCTTTATTGGAATTCTTCAAGTGCAGCAAGTGACCCTTCTTGCAAATAATTGTGTGCGATCTGTAATTTCTAGGTGTGGATGTGGTAAGTCAATAAATGACTGTTATGTTTGGGTTCTGCATTTACTTTTTTATTTGTGTTGTTTTGGCTTGGTTTGCTGTATGCTGTGAGGCTGTGTGGCCTTTGTTTATGCATTGTCAAATGTGAACTTGGATATTGAAGTTTAATTAAATATCATGTGATCTTAAGGTTATTTTGCCTATTTATGTTATTATGTGCAGGTGGATGTGGTGTGTTTGAATATATTTTTATTTTAGGTATGATCTTACAATTTGTGTTAGAATTTCATGCTTTACATGTCTACCCTCCCCTTCTGATCTGAAGTTTGACAACCTTGTTAACAATAGTATGTTGAATATATAATTGATAGATTTGATATATCATTTTTTTTTTGGGTGAAAAAACCAAAGGATTAGAAACCTCTAGGGAAAGCAATACAAGCAGAGTCTGGTCTCAAAGAATTTGGAACAACATCATAAATATGAACAGAATATGAAATTATTGATCCGTGCTTTGCCATTAGATCGGCTACTTGATTTACTTCTTGCAAGACATGTAAGCATTCGATCACTCCTCCATCACTATGAATATCATGAATACTCTTCACCATATGGTAACAAGGATGAGTTAGACAACATCCTTTTGTCAACAAACCAATAGCAATCATAGAATCAGAATAGATGCGGAAAAGTAACAGTACTACTAGCTCAAGACAAAACCCAATAGAGTTTACGTGTTAAGTGTGATGGAACATAAAACCTGCTTTTTGTTCTATGTTTGGCACATTTTAGAAATAGAATAGAACAAAACAACGGGAAAGTGGTATACTTTGGTTCCATTAAAAAGACTGAAACCAAGGAGAACAAAATAGAATAGAATCATTCCATTACATTTTGTCTGAGCACCAAATATTGCCTATTCTATTTTGTTGTCCTAGGTTCCAACAATAATTCCAACAACATCCATGCTTGAAATAAGGATTAGAATCAATCACAAGAGGAATGAAGTTTTCAATCTGCAATATGTTTAGATCTGAGACATCACCATTAATGTTCCTTGCATCCAAATCTGTGAAAACAAAGACAGTGAAACTATTTCCCACAAGAAATTTTCTGCAATCTTGGGTGTAGTATCCTAGATATTGTAATGAATGGTAAAAAATTGACTGAGTGAAGCTGTTTTGGCAATAATTAGACTTTGTAGAAAGACAATTCATATTCACTGTGTCTAACTTCAACTCTTTCATGAGATGAAGGTGGCGCTACATTTTGCCACAGAACAATGAATATTTTTGGCAAATTTACAACACAATAATTGAGAAGAATGGAAGAACCTAGCAGTAATTGTTTTTGAGTTAATCATATCAAGTGAATCAAGCAGTATACATCAATTGAAATATGCAACTATGAAATGAAAGAGTAAACTCAAATCATACTATAAGAGATTGAGACAATGGACTAGAGATATACCGTATTGATGATTTCATCTGAAGACTCTTTGTTTCCGACCTTCAAATCATTTTCAGATTTAACAGTCGGTTCTTCCTCAGCTTCATTTGCATTCTACATTGGGGGAAAAACCAAACTAAAACATTAATCAAGTCTTTTAAATCTGATGTGTTAGGCAATAAATGCCATCTTGACTAACAAAAGAAAAGAAAAAAAGCAAAAATTTTATTCACCTCTTCCACTTTATTAAGCAAAGATCCTGCACTTCCAAGACTACCACTGGCTTCATCATCATTATCAAGTACATCTGCTAATTTCTCTGCTGCTTCATCCTGTAACAAAGCATGGAATGTTAAAGTAGAAGAATTAAACCACTACCACATAATGGGATAGTGCAAGATCAGACGTGCGCACACACAAGTGAAGGAATAATGTGTAGGAATGACAAAGAAATCTGCTTCACAGTGGTATTGGTGGAAAATAGTCATTAACAATTATTTTTCTACTAGTGTTCACGAGTACAGGTAAACAGATGAAGGGCAACAAAATTTCTTTTCTTGTAATAACATAATATTTGCATGTTATTTAGAGGTAGGATGGTTCATTGCATCAAGAAACATGACATATAAGGAATTAAGGATGATACAAGGTTAAGGAAAGATCAGGAAAATCACATGCACATATAGCATCACATCACATCAACAACTAAATACCAGATTGATGCATTCAAAAGTTAAATTAAAATTCTTCAGTAAGGCACATTCTGATTGTACAATCAAGTTCTGCAACCTTAATGGCTAATGCAATCAAACCTGATCTGCAGGAGAACCCTCTAGATTTTCTATTTTATCATGATTATTTTCCACAACATTGTCTTCAATATCCGAATGCTTTCCAGTTTCATCTCTATGACCCATATCTTCATCAGCTGTATCTTTTGCTTCATTAGCCTTCTCCTCAGACTGCTTTTTCTGCTTCTCTTCTTTTTCTTTCTGTAATCGTTCCTTCTCCTCTGCCTTTTCTATTAGTTCTTTATGATCTGCAACGGAAGCAAAAGAAAATTGTCAAAGAAAATATTCCATTGATAGGATAGAAAATTACTATACAAATGAAAATGTTTCAGAAAGAAAATGTATATTCCTTTTTCTCCTTGATCAAAATTCCATATCCTTTACAACATAGCATGAAATCTGTAAACTTAACAGTCAAACATGTTTTATCATGCTTACTTGCAAAACATGTAAAATGCCGCCCCCTCCTCAATCATACAATTTGAAAAATACCAAAAGAAGAATCTTCAATTTCCCACATGTTAAACAAACTGATAATGATGATCTCGCTTCATTATGTGCCACTCATCAATTGCAAGTGGTTTATGTGTAATTAAACAGACAGTTGGTTCAGAATATCTCAAACACTTGCCAATTTGTACTCAATTTATACATTCAAAAGGTTTATGCAAAACCAATAAAGGCATCTAACACTTCAAACTGAGCAAAACACTAAATGCATTCCTACATCCCTAACTTGATTTCTCCATATATACATTCACTTGATCTTCCTACCAATGGAAAATAAACCTATTAGTAGCATTTTTAAACTAGCCACAAGTACATCTGACACATTGCCTTTCCATTTTGTCTTTGTATGGAGATCATTATTTTTATGATCAAAATCCTTAAACCAAAGTTTCATGAGTTTATATATATTAAGTAAAACATTCACAATAACAGGATAGAACCAAAAGGTTACCCTTTAGCTGTTTCACAATCCCTTTAAGTATACTTTCTTCCCTTTTTAATTTTGAAAGTTCTGCTTCGTCCTTCTCCATAGCTACTTTAGCTTGTTCAATTTCTTGCTTTCGCAATTTGGCACCCTCTTGATAAGTGGCAATCTTTTTTTTCAGCCTATCTCGAGCAACATTCCCAGCCTCCCAGCAGGTATTGGGACACTTTACTTGACCATCATATTCATCCGTTCCATCACAGCAATCTACATAGTAATGCAGGAAAGGTAAACAAATTACTTCAGAGCTAACCAAAAACACGGGTCTACAAATAATCCAAACTACAGGCCAGTAATCCATTGGAAAACAGCATTTTTATTTTCATGACACAGACAAAGTTCTGGAGTCATTATTTAAAACAAAGGAAAAAATGTTGCTTTTAAAACTGATGCACAAATGGGCAATATTAGTGAAGGATCAAAAAATAAGGTGCGATCACCATACTCATCAAGCTTGTCACATGGTAACAGAACTCAAAAGCTATGGAAATTCTAAATGTGGCAAAAATTATATTGCACCTATAAAAAATAGAAGGGATAACTGTAATGTAATGACAATGAAAATGTTTGCATTTAGATCAAGTGCCAGCCTTACTCCACCAGGGTCTCTAATCACCATGCAATATATTTATACCATAAACAGAATAATACCAGTGAGAATAACAAGATAAAATCAAAGCACCCATAAGTCCAAAACATGTGCACCAGATCCAAAACTTTAGCTTGCAAATCAAAAGGAACACTTAAAACTTAAAAGTAACCAATAAATGCATAATCATTGTCAAGAACTCTTCTAAATTCCTACTTCTTTGATACAAACCACAGGTATCGTCCATGAGAATTGAGAAGCAATCTTGCTCAAGGTAAGTCGAGTAGCACCACTATGATTCTAAATCTGTACTAATAGAACCTCCTTCATGCATATCAACCCGGGATATTTTTCTTCTTTCAATTCCCCACCCCACCCCCCCCATTCTGATTG